CATGTGTAAATATAATTTAAGTATTTATTAATTTAAGTATTCATGTTAGGAGTTCAATACTATCTCTATGTTTCCCTTTTTTGTCTTATATCAAATTATTAAATTGATATCAAGAATATTTTCAGTACTTCATTAATTCAAATAACAATTTACTGGTGCCAGTAACTTTCTTTTTTCATTTGCTTCCATTTACAAGGGGGTGGGAGGGGGTTATATAAACCAAAGAGGGAGAGATATATTGTACAGTGTTAACTTGACAAATTCAAACTGATTGTAAACTTCTCCAATACCCCAATGTGGGTGACACGACTCTCATGAGAATGAATTGTCATTGTCATTGTCATTTGATGTGTCATTGGTTGCTCGCTGATCGTGATTGCAATGCATGATGTACATGTGTATAATGCACCTCGCATGTGGTAGTAGGCTGTAGACTCCAATATCCGTCGCTTCCATGGTATTTATCACAAATATGCCCAGGCTAGCGTGTAAACAAAATTGCGCCGCCCTGCGAAGGCTGAGCTGGTGAGCATGATTATGAGTTTGTTGATAACGCCATCTTCGGTGGCTTGAATCAAGTGTGTAGGAAATATAAAGAACCGGGTAAATTCTGGACTACTCTCGACGTTAACATGGTATATAACGTATAAGGAAAACGATTACATATCTTCTTCTTTTTTTTTTCTTTTTTTTTTACGAAGGTTCATATTTCAGATTGCTCGTTATTCCTCAAATTTATTGCGAATGTTTATAATTCCGAAGGTTCGTTATTCCCAAGGTTCGTTGCTCCAAATTTTCGTAATTCGGACAAATGAAAGTGGGCACACACAATTCATATTTCATTTTCAGAATTATTAACCTTGTTTCATTTTCCCAATTATGAAGCTTAGTAATTACGAACCTTAAGAAAAATGAGCCGTCGAAAAAAACGAGCGACATCTCTTCCCTATCAAACCATGAGTCTTGTAAGTGGTTGAACTTGAGTATCTTCCATTGTGTCCTCTGTGGCAAGACATCAAATCTAAATTTGCCACTCTCCACCCAAGTGTATACATAGGTATTACCTTGTAAAATGCTTACATTCGAACACATAAGTATGAGCATATAACGGCTACCATAGTTATAATGTCGAGATTCTTTTACTAGGTAGTTTTCTTAGCACTTGGAAGTGCATAGAAACGGAATATTGTAATGTGATATGCGCCATACAAAACGGAATAGTATCTTTGTTCTTATTACTACGTAACAAAGTAGTGTCTTTGTATTGATATTCCACATATTAAAGTATGCCTTTCCAATGGTACTTGTAGAATACTACTTAATCAACTTATGCTAGCAATGAAATGTAACTTTATGGTCATAGGAACAAAATGTAAACGTACAGATTTTGAGAACATTAATGTTTGTATTGATAATTGTCCCCTAGAGAGAGTCGATCAATGTAAATATCTCGGTGTTATACTTGATACTGATTTTGCATGGACACCACAAATTGAAAGGGCGAAATCAACAATACTACGGAACTTTATTGTCTTACGAAGAGCTAGACCATTTATCGATCAACGGACTCGACTGCTCTACTTTTATATAATACGATGATTCGATCTCGTTTTGATTATTGTATTACGATTTGGATGGGCACCTAAACAAGCTTCAGATATTACAAAACAGGGCATTAAGAATAGTACTTTGGGTGTATTCTCGCTTCAGCAGACATGAACTTTACAATAGATTAAAACTTGATTGTCTCAATGTTAAAGTTAAGAAGGACCTGGTTATTCTGATGTACATAATACTGAAGAACCAGATATTATCTCTACTAAAGTCATTTTTAAAGAAATTAATTATAACCTTAGAAACAGGAAATGTACTATTAACATACCTAAACCGAACACTAATTTTCTAAGAAACAGTACTCTTTATATCGCATCTCGACTATCCCAATCACTTACCTCAGTGCACCAGAAAAGAAACCTGGCTTTCAAACTTTATAAAGGCGATCGATGGTATCCCCCCCCCCCCCTATGTTCTATTTGTTATTTTCTATCTGTGTCTATAGGAGGCTGTTCACACCGCAAGGGGGGACCGTGGCTCGCGCTATCGGTCCGCCCAGTGGCATTCGCCGGATTCACACCGCAGTGAGATAGCGCGTTCTATCGTAGCACCCCCTTTTTATGAGGTCCTGTTGCCATGACACGTGACGTCATGATGTCAGAGCGGTCAAAGATTTCGCGCGCTATTACGAACCCGTAGTTGAGAGAAAAACAGCGTAAAAAGTACGTTTAGTAAAGTCAGGTCCAACATTACTTACTAAATTTCTATTTTCACGATGTTCCGACGCGTTTTACTCCATAAAATTAGGAGTGTTACTTTGTTGAGTTGTACCGATTCAGATTCAGATCGCACCAAAATAGAATGAGTATAAAATTCCCCGCGTGTAGAACGATGACTTCCGGCGTGCTATATAGTAGCTCGGGTTCACACCGGCAGGGATAGCGTGGTCTAGCGAGCGCTAGACCGCGCTCTCTCTCGTGGACCACCCCCAAGAGGTGCTCCAGTGGCACGCCGTTTTGGCTCGCCGTGGCTCGCTGCTTGGCGGACCGAAACAACGTTGTACCAGGGACTTGGGATAACAAGTCCCTGGTTGTACCTTCCACACCGCAGAGATAGCGCAGTCTAGTGCGCGCTAGACCGCGCTATCTCTGCCGGTCTGAACAGCCTCCATGTCTCTCTCCCTCTCTCTTTCTCTTTCTATCTTCTCATCTCTCTATCTCTCTCTATCCCTTTCTTCCTCGCTCTCTCACTAAATCTACCTCTGGTAATGTGTTTGATGATATTAGGAGCTTGTGATTTGACTAAATTGTATTTTTTCCTCAAATTTCTGATATTTAAAATACTCAGTGTGATTGTTATTAACAGTTATTTACACATTTGTATTCTTTTTATTAAGAGTTATTTCCACATTTGCATTCTTGTTATTTTAATTTGTATTATGAATTATATTTGTTTTGTTTATGTATATTGTGTGAACGTTTTTAACGGACTTGCTAAAAAACAGCCTTGGCTTGATAGCAGGTGTTTTAACCGTGGATAATTAAATAAAACTAAACAAACAAAACAACCAATTACAAGATAGGATATATAAACTCATCTGTAAGCCACCCGACCTCGAGATTAGTTCAATCTACCAATCAAGAGAGAAGTTATACATTCAATTAAATATAACCAATGACAAAGCACAATAGAGTGGTTCTGACTGCGTACCGGTGAAAGTAGGAGGAGCCTATAGAGCCCCGCAAGAATGTTCGATAACCGGAAAAAACAGTCTATTGTCTAACGTGTTTATCGGAAACAAACACCTGTAAATCTTATGCAGAAATTCAAGTCCAGGGGTTGTTTACCCGTACCTGGCATACTATCGGGGACATAATTAATTCTGTTCAACTTTAGATCAATCTATACAAAGTCAAACTAATAACCGTAGAAATAATAAACTTAACCCAACTCCTATATTGCTATAGCGCCCCTTTAGGTCAATGTTTGGCCAAATTAGCGTACCACTATAATATATCGTACAGTTTAAATACAATTTAATGAGGCAACTTAAAGATAAACTCCAGTACTGGTAAAAAAAAAATTAATTCTCACAGAATCAAACGAAACTTACACTGAATGTTCAAGATTACAAATAAATGACATGTGCCAAACAATTTTGGAAGAAAATGTATACTGGCTGAGTAATGAGCATAGAAAGACAAGGAAACCAAGGTAGTACCATCCCCGACACCATGTGTGTTGTCCCATATATAGCTTTCTATGTGAGTGTTTGTTACTTTACCAAGACTCGGTCAAATTTATTATGATTTTGATGACTCCAGAACCTTGCAGTGCACACCAATACTTACATGCTACATGATCAACTGTTTTTGATCCTTTCACACCTTTTCTTTCACAATGCAATCGCATTACCAGTACTAAAGTTTATCTTTAATGGTTAAAAAAAGTTGCGATATGAAATGAACATGTACAATTCTTTGTGTGCTTAAATGTACAGGCGATAGGTCTCAAGTTTACCTTAATCCTTAGGTAAAATTCAAGACTTAAAGTAAAACTAAAGCAAATCATCATGATCACATCATCATCATCATCATCATCATCATCATTAATATCATTATTACTAAAATATTGTCATTATTATCATTATCAGCATTATCTGCATCATCATCATCATTAAAACTACGACTAGTACATGCGGCTGCTGTTGCTGCTACTCGCTATTATTGTTGTTCCTGCTTCTCTTACTTCTCCTTTTCTTCTATCTACTTCTTCTTCTTTCTTCTCCTTCTTCTTCTACTTCTATTTACTATTCTTCTTCTACCTACTATTCTTTTTCTCCTTCTTCTTTTTCTTTATTTTTCGTCTTCTTCTTATTATTTTTCTTCATCATTATCATCTTCTTCTTTTCCTATTTCTGTATTTCCATCTTAAGTTTGACTTCATTCATTTAATATTGTATCAGATAGATCATAGCTAAACAAATGTTTCATTATCACCTCTCTCTATCTGACTGTATATGCCTCTCTCTCTCTCTCTATCCTTCCGTCTCTTTGGCTCTCTCTCTCTCTTTCTCTTCTTCTTCTTTCTCTTTTTCTCTCTTTCCCTCTTCTTCTCTCTCACTCTCTCTCCCTCCCCCCTCTCTCTCTCTATCTCTCTTTTTATCTCTTCATCTTTCTCCTTTGGACCTTTCTCAATCCTTCTCTTTGTGTGTTTTTCTGTAGCTGTCCTATCTCTCTCCTCCTCCTTGTTATGATTTTAAAAAATATGATTTTAATCCATAAGTAGTATATAGAAATAACTAAAAAAAACATCCTAACTTTGCTATTTTTACCCGCCTCGCCCTTAACCTTTCTTCGAATCTTTCTGTCTTTCGAAATGCATTAACTCTCTCTATTATTATTACAGTTATATACAAATATAACATGAAAATAAACTAAAGGAAAACTGCTGGTCCATCCTTATTTATTTTCGACAGCCATGAGCCTACAAATGCGAAAGTATTTAACGGATCTCTACCAGATAATAAATGCATCAAAAAGCACAAAACAAAACAAATCTATTACAGGGGGTGTAATTATTTTTTAAATGAGTCCTTAAGAAGAAAATTCCCGTAAGCATTAGAAAATATACGACCTGAAAACATATTTTGTAGAAGTTAACTCTTAAATGATTACAAAAATGTACCAAGAAATCGAATAACAGTAAGAAAGATATATGTGTAAGAATTCCTCTACTCATTGAAATAACACACGGTGATTTGCAGAAATATTATTGCAGTGAAATGAAAATGGTGTATTCATGACATTATTCAATATCGTATCATCAATAATCATTAGGGGTCTCAATATTTCTTAATTAAATAAAGATTTGCGCTGATACATGTATTCGTTATGGAGATATGAATGAATTAAGACTATCAATAGAATGAAAAAAGCTTCATGAATCTTAATAATAAAACAAAATCTTGATGATATTTATTGTAAGGGAACCCATTTTGAAGTGAGTACATAGATTCGATGGGTTTGGTTCTCTTGCAGTAAATCAACGCCGTAGCAGTGGAAATATGTTTCACCTCGACATTCTAATTAAAGTTTAGTCACAGAAGGTAGGACTGTCACATGTGTTTGATCAATCCTCCGAACAAAATCAAATCATTTGAATGGAACATTGGTAGGTTTGTTTACTGTCTTTAAAAAACTACTTTAACGACGTCTTATGTTTAGTCAATGAAAATAACAGCCATCAAAATCTAAGCCTATAGTTGAATAAAATGTTATAAAATGTTGAAACCCATCTCCGTAGAACTTTAGATGTGAACCAGCATTTCTAAGTTTCTTTTCAGAACAACCAGGGCATCCAGGTCTGAGAAATCGTCCGCATCAGGATCAGCATCAGCAAAAGGAAATAAGTAAAGAGACAAAAGGCAATTATTTTAGAGATGAGTAAGTAACTACATATTGCACTCTTTAGTACTCTTTAAAAGTATTGTCAGCTACTTGAAGTGTGTCATGGATTAGCAAGTGGTACCATAAAGGCTTGTTCAGAAATAACGCGGCAAAATCGCTGCGTTTTTTTTTATCATAACGTTAAATGTAATACGGTTCACATTTCTGTATCCGTAATAACACAGAGATCAGTAAATACAAATGTACGCTCAAGTCCTTTGAAGCGCGCAGTTGCCATTCACTTACTCGTTAACAAAATATTTATATTAAAAAAAAACGCGGCGGCTTATTTGCGGAGGTTTACCTCGCCATATCTGAACAAGCCATAAATAAGTTTGTTTTCTTTAAACGTAAAGAGTGTGGGTTTTTTTTGCGGAGAGGGCCTCTTCTCTGAAAATAGGGATGACAAAATAATCAATAAAGGCCAAGACTGTAAACTGCATCTGATACACATGAGTCTCAAATGTCCAAAATTTCTTTAACAGGTTTAATGTTTTCAAGAAATTATTTTCTTAAAGAACTACTCCCGAGCATATATTGCATCCCATGACATGCTGCATCGATTTTTATTTCATTGACCATTATATATACAGCAAGTAGCTAACGATGATAACATATAATTTTGTTTAACCAGGGAAGCCTAAATGCTGGTTTTCCCGAGAGCCCTGCAGTTATTTTAACCTAAGAAATTGCCAGGTAACCATTTACACCTGGGTGAAGAGTGGCAAATATGGATTGATGTCTTGCCAAAGGATGTGAGTGTCGGGCTGGGATTCGAACCCTTAACCCTTGGACTAAGGGGTCTAGCAAATGAACCACTATACCACGACACCAATATACCACGAAGCGGCATAGTCAGGAATATCAACTTTATCGATGAACAATTTGTACAATCAGGGGCGATAAACAGGTTTTGGTGAAAAGCTGGGACAAAAGCAAGGCATTCAGTAGACAGGAACGAACATCATTATTGCTTTGAAAAGGATTTTTTAACCACTTGTAATGTTTTTTTTGTAGAATTTTTTATTTAAATCAAATGCATTTGACACTGTTGCAGTTTATATATTTCAAATCCACATGTATCTTAAAGAATAATGTTATTTATATATATTTTCTCTTTCTAGAAAAATTTGATATAAAAGTCTGTTCTCAAATGTCTTAAATTACAGCTTTTACGAAAATGATGTTAATCTCGATATAATATCATTATTTTAATAACAATTCCTTTATCAATTTCATTTTCTGATACCTCTTTACAATCATTGTTATAGTTGAAGGAGTCTATATTATTCTCGCGTTCTCAAGAGATTTATACTGTAGTGTTACTTTTTAAAATCTGGTTAAACCTCGATGAACATTACCCCAAGAAACCGAAGTTTAATGCATAGTCACTTACTGTTTAACGCTTCTCCAAAATGCAGGAGTCGTTGAAGCCGGAAAAGCTTAGGTTATGGGGAAATATTTATTAGCAATTTCGCCCATATTCGATTCCTGCAGTGCTTTCCTCATCAATGGTGGTTGGTCTCCAGGTTTCTTGACTTGGTCTTGCCACTTATTGAGCATCTTCAGTGCTCCGTTGCATGCGGAGGTGTTGTTCTGTGCCTCATACGCTGCAGCTTGGTCAGCAGTGAATCCGAGATTGAGACACAAAGTTGCAAATTGGGGGCTTTGTCCGACAGCTTTGGAGAGTGACAAAATCGTTTCCTCGGAGATGGACATCTTTTTCTATAATTTCGGAATAATTAAGAAAAGCAAAAACAGCCAATAATTTCCTAAATTCCCTAAGTATATTGATCAAAACACAGTGTTTATTTCAAGCGCCCTCTAAATAGATGACGAAAAACGTGAAATAAAACAGCATATACGTTTAAACGAGCACAACATTTTAAATGGACAATTTAAAATGCTATGATAATGGCAATAACAATAAGACAAATAACATCTAAAAAGAGTGTAACGCGCAATTTTCTGTAATTCTTACTGCTTTTTCCAAATGAATAACCAATACGTTTCTAGACAACATTAATGACACTTTTGAATAATGCAATGGCGGTGTCAATATTTAAAATTTAGATACGAGGATGCAAAACGATTAAGACTTAAAAAATGAATTTTCTGCAATTCACTCATGTTTTTTCCGATGTATTTAGCCCTTGACGAAATGCAACGGAGCAGTAACAAAATTGTTTTTTTTCCCCCAAGAAATTCCCGGTGTCCATGTCGAAAAGTGGGAAATCAAAATTTTGGACTAATGAACTTTCATTGTTTTGATTTTTACTTCCATAGGCGGCGACGGGGGGGGGGGGCGGAGGACGGGCGAGGGGTAGGTGGCTAGGAGTCTGCAGCCCAAAGAGAATTTTATTTGAGCAACCTCAAATACGGACAATAGGGAGCGGAATATCCATATTCGATGAGGAGAGGTGTCTGGATGTGTAATTTCAGTTAGTTTTCACTGTCAACAATTTTAGAGACTAAACAACATGAAAAGAACATGAAAACTGTGTTTGCCTTTGTGAGAACCCGCATTTCTCTTACGATACAAAGACAGCACGATTAATATTGACAAAACATCTGTACAGAATAAACTTATACCACTTGCCCCTACATTTCGAGAAAACAAGTGCCATTGTATAGCTATTTCATTTCATAATTTCTTTATCAGATTACAGCTGACACATTTAAGGTAGATTAACTTACTTCTTACACTCATGGTATTTCTGTTATTATGTCGTGAACAGTGTACCGTAGGGAACAACAGACATTTAAAAATAAATTAACAAATTTCATACCCATGCACATGATTGTTTATTTTAAGTAAGGCAAGAAACTCTAAATATTCATTCTATGATATCCAATATCAGAAAAATCTGTGAAAATTGGTTAATAGTCATGTACTTCCTGAAATTTTTCTTTATGTTCCTACACAAATGATTTTATTTGATATAAATCAAAGGACACAAAGTTGTTTTATTCTTTTCGGAATTTCCTTTTGCAGAAAATTCAATTTTATTTCAAATCTTGCCAGGAAATGTAGACGAGACAAATTTACAATTATTATCCACAGATGCTCTTTGATGCGCTCTCTTTGTATTGTTTAACAAAATGCAAGGTGCAAGATGCAACCAAAAAAAACTTAACCTTAGAGTTTTGTTTGATACCTAAAAATCACAGAAGCAACTGTATTTTCTACATATACAATTATGAACGAATTTTCATTGAGGATACTTTTTCGAATGTTGCCAATTAGAATTTCGTATAATACAAGGCGTTGACAAAAGAGCAAGATTCTGTGAAGCAACTGATAAGTTGTTAATTATCAACATTAACAAAACTTGAGAGAAATATTCTACTCACAGTTGTATTCTTGACGACTGTAGCAACTTATCAGCAAAGACCGTTTAACGTCAGACAGCTCCTGATTTGAAGAAAGGTAGAGTATGGGACTTTGCTAAAAGGATGGTGAATTTATATTCACTAAAATGTAGGCGGAGCCTGTAAGACTCTGTATTATAAAAGGCTCGAACAAGTTATTTTGGGGAAAGAGTTATAACGGCCAGGGCAGGTGTTAAAAATGGGAGTGGCTAAGCGTAAAAATCTACCAATCGGCAGTTTGTATTATCTATAGTCAGCCACGTGATGCTATTAAGCAATGAATATTCATCTATCACGGTCGAATAAACAATCATTGACCAATGGCGTGCGTTATCCAATCTGACCAAAATATCTTTTGAGGCAAGCATTTCTTTTTTCACGTGACAAAAAGTTTTAAAAATAGGCATTATCAGGCTGAACGTAAGTCTCTGACCGTGCCGTGTGCATGAATCTAGTTTCATTTTTATTTCATTTTTTGAGAAAATTGTTGATGATTGACAATGATCTCTTTTAGAGACGTTTTGAATGGTGTATCCGGCTAAAAGGATCAAAATACCCCCCTCTGGTACTTTCCTTTTAAGTTTCTTTAGGAATTCTTAAGAAAATAATTAATTTTAACATGCAGTATTATCTTTATGTTTGTGTATCATTACAATACCCTATATTCTAACTTGTCAAAACTTATTCATCCTCTACAATTAATCTTCAGTGCAGGTAAGTCACAAACAAGGAACAATAACAAGTTTCTTTCTCTCTCTCTCTCGCTCTATCTCTTTCGCTTTCAGTATTCAATTTTCTGACTTTCATTTCGTAAAAACATCTTTGCTTCCTGAGAAATAATTTTACTCGTTGCCTTCGGGTGGAGATTGGCAAATGTATATTAAAGTCTTGCCAAAGGACATCAGTGCCGCGACAGGACTCGAACCGCGAACCATATGATCCACACACCGGTGACGTATCCACCAGACCACGACATATACATTGGGTCATTACTTTCGACATACAATTGAAATCAAGAGAGTGCTACCCAAACGGATCAAATTTTATCTCCAAATCTTGCCAAAGTGTTTAGGAGTTAATTTCAAGGAAATATAATATGTCCATTGGATCTGAAGGTTTTTGAGTGAGAACTTCGGACTGATTCACTAATTTAAACTAAAAAATGTTAATATCAGTAACTGTACTAAATTGTGTATACTCCAAATAGTTCATCAATATACCTTTTTACTTTTAGAAAACATCAAAAGGAAACTTTACGAATAATTATGATATCTATATTTTAAAAAACTAGTTAAAATCAGTATGTGCACTAGCGTGTTATATACAGTTAAAACAATAGTAGATAGTCCAAGAAGGAATAATTTGCAGTTATTATGTTAGGTTTTGAACACTTTTTAAATTATTTTCCCAGTGCCTAGGAAGTCAGTTTCGTCCCAGGCATCGTGTATGCACTTGTCATTAGGGACTTTTAGATTTGCAAATCTAAAAGTCCCTAATATTACCTAAAAGTTCGTACCTAGATTCACTGTCCACGTCCTTTTCACCTCACCATCCCAATCATAAATGTGTATTAAACCATGAATTAAGAATGGATCGCCCACAATAGAAGATCCAGGGGTTCGGGAACAGAACGTGCTTTCCGCCACGTAGCACCCATTCTATGTAGGATCTTGACATCAACCAATTTATACTGACGATAGGCCCAGGTGCTTTTTGGTAGTGGATGGCACCTTGATAATATTTCAAAATAGTTCTGTAGTGCGATGGTATTTCCGTAACACCATTTAAAAACGATAGGATGACGATTTTAACATTGGAAAATAATCATTCAATATTTAGATTCTGGTTGCTAGTCTTCTTACATAGTCCTTTTCTGTAGTAAGACAAAAGGTTCTTTTCTATGAAGCCTGTCTAACAAGGTTGGCAAATTTTAGACCAGCAATACCTAAACCCTAGTGGATGGTGCTATTGCAGTAGTTAGGGTGTAAATAGTGTGATTTAGCTCTACACGCAGCAAAATTCGTATCCAAAGTATGAGACCTCAGAACTTTAACCTAAATGTATACACAAATACCCGTTTCCTCACCCGGAGGGGATATGATAAATAATCATTCTACATGCTGCAAGATTTTGAGCCGAAGTCTGCGTATCAGGAACTTAAACTTCGATGTGCACACAAATACAAATAAGGGAGATGTGAGTTGGTCTAGCGGTGCGTCTACTTGGTTAGCTCTCTTTTCTCCTTTTTTCCCTCTCTCTTTTCCTTATGCGAGGTTTTATTTCCATAATTTCAATACTCTCTGACGTACTTATTTCAGATTCAGATTTAGATTCAAATTGTAATATCCACGTTAAAAACAACGAAATTTGTCCTCCACGGGCAAAAGATAACAATAAATAACATAAGAAGACATGAATGTGCACAAAAAAAAACGTCAATTAGATTTACCAAAAGAAAATGAATACATACAAAAGTACAGACCTACGCTGAATAAGAGGAGATAGCAGAGTTAGAGATGATAGACCAAAAACGAATGGAGGAAAAGCAAAAAAGAACAAGAATGTAGGTGAGGGGAAGAGAGAATAAAATCTGCTTGCTTATTATGCTTCCAAACATCTCCTTTACCAAAGTAAAAAAGGTAAAAAGGCAGCGGCCCCCATTTGCCAACATATACAAATTCCGCAAGCCTCCACTTGCAGAACCTCTCCAGCGCGAGAACTCCCCATCAAATACGTATCAAATACGAAACCAAACAGGCAAGAAGCGTGGCAATAATATTAATATTGGATTATTATATAGCGCAGTATCAACCTTGCCAGGTCCTCAAGGCGCTCCAACATTACCCGGTTATGCTAGGCTGCCGATTTCGACGCTCACAGCATTTTAAGGGATTCCTTCCTACCGGTACCCATTCAACACCTGGGTAGAGAGTGGCAAATGTAGATCAATGTCTTGCCAAAGGACATTAGTGCTGCGGCGGGACTCGAACCGCGGACCTTGTAATCGACAGTCCGGCGACGTATCCACTCATCCACGACACCTCTACAATGAATTATGGTCGGTTTGAAATCAATGCCTTCACATAAAACCCCAGGGTTAGATGGCCTCCCAAGTGAATTGTATGTAGTTATTTTTAATGACACTGTAGATTTGCTGTTGGACTCTTACAACTTTTCCTTCTATAATAGTTTGTTCTCAAATCTCTAACTCAACGAAATGGAGTAATTACTTTGATACTAAAGCAAGGTAAATAAAACTATAGGCCCGTTTCCTTGTTAAATGTAGACTACAAATTAGTTGCTAAAGTAATGAGTCATCGACTAAAACATGCATATTTCTTAAAGTCTTTAGAACAGTTTGATATTGGAGAAAATTTCATTAATATTGTTAAAACCTGTTATTATCATAGATTTTTCAAGGGTGCCCTATTTCACCTTATTTGTTTGTTTTGGCAATTGAAATTCTAGGTATTTCATTATTGGTTAGTCCTGATATTTTAGGAATTAAGATAGGTGAAGTGGAGAAAACTTAGTTTATTTGCTGATGACACTATTCGTTTTTTGAATGGTGGAATAGATTCTTTTGTTAATTTGTTTGAATTGTTAGATTATTTTGAAAGTTTTTCAGGGTGTCGGATAGATATGTCTAAGTCTGAGGCTATACATATTGGCAGTTTAAAGAATTGTTAAGAAAAACCTTTCGTAGAGAGAGGACTAACTTGGAGAAGTAAGACCTTTAAAGCATTGGGAGTAACATTTTCTTTATCAACTAAAACTTTGTATGAACTTAATTATCCCATGAAACTAAAAAAGATAGAACAAGTTTTGAATTGCTGCAGACAGAGGAGTTTATCTCTAATTGGAAAGAAATCAGTTGTCAAATCTCTTTTATTGTACAAGCTATTGTATTTGTTCTATGTGCTTCGTTCTGATGTTCCTAAATCATGTTTTTAAAAGATGAATAGTTTAATTTATAAATTTATATGGAGTAACGGTAACGATAGAGTAAAAACGAGTCTGAGTCTTACTCTGTAATTTGCACGAAGAAGGTGGCCTTAAAATGATTGATCCATGCACATTTGCAAAATCACAGAAAATGGTTTGGGTAAGAAATATTTTGGATGATAATTATGTGGGTACTTGGAAATCCATAGACATAGACATGCTTTAAACTTGTTCATGATGATCCATATATGCTCTGTATAGCAGAAGCTCCTCTAAGTATACTGCAACAATTGAAAAATTGTCAATTGGTTGAAACTTTGAAAGTCTGGTATAAATATATATTTTTAGTTGTAAGAGAATTGAACTTAGATACTTATCACATGCAAAATTATATTTGGTATAACAAAAATGTGAGTTTAAGGCAAAGACCTTATTTTTAGTATCATGCATGGTATGAGAGAGGGGTTGTATTTGTCTCGCATTTGTATAGCGGTTGTAATATGGTGAAAACTTGTGAAGACTTGGTTGTAGAATTTGATATCCCAATAACTGACCAACGCAAGTATGATTCCCTGATGAATGCGTTATATTTAGATTGGTTTATTGATCATCAAGATGTTCATGAGAATATTTTTGATACGATTGTTTTTGAGTTGCTTTTGAAGTTGATTATTTGGTACTACGTAACTAAGATAAATCATTACAGGCCAAGATTGGCGATAAATGGGAAGAGTGGCTTGGTGTGGATAGAGATAAAAATTGAATGGTCTGTTATACACAAAAATAATTTCAAATGCACTATGGAAACTCAGTTAAGGTCTTTTTATTTTAAGATGTTTCATAATGCCATAACCCTAAACTCATGTTTATATAAAATTGGAAGAAGGAATAGTCCTGTTTGTTACTTCTGTCAGGAGCTTCCTAAAACCTTGATTCATATATTTTGTAAATGCATAGTAGGTGCTCCAATGTGGAAACAAGCTTGCCGATTATATTGATAAAATGACAAAGGAGACAACACTGTTCTTTGAGTTCGCTCATATATTTGGTATTGATATCGGTGACGGGCATGATGTATGTATTAATTTGTTATTCCTGAGCCTCAATTTTTATATTATTCGATACAAATTTCAAGAGGTAGAATTAAATTTCCAGGGTTTCCTTTCATTTTTTTTAATGAAAGAGGAATTTGAATATAAAATAGCAGAGAAGAAAGGTAAATTGAGCTCCCACTTTAAGAAATGGTCACTTTCGTTCTTGTAAAATGTTAGTCCCCTGGCATTTAATAAATTGTTTACTTCCTTATTGGCAATT